CCCCCCCCAAAGGGAGGCTAGCTACCTTTGGTGTTTGGTAATCGAATAGGACCAGGCTAAGATGGACGAAGTGGAGATGCCCTGCTTGTTCAATGAAGCTTAACAAGCGTTGAATCGGGTACCCTTAAATATTCTCTTTTACAATTCCAAGTTCTGCACTTATGCTTTTTTATATAATTTCCTTTTCCAAGTTTTTTAGGCTTCGGTGCTTCATCATGAGGCCTTTTTCTGATCCCGAGAGGAGTTGAGCTGGTATGAGGCCAAGATCCGGGGGCTTACCGAGAAGAATGATGCCTTCAAACTTCTCAGTAAGCAAAGAGAAATAGAGGTTAAGAGCCTTCGAGTTGATTTAGAGATGGCCCAAAAAGAGCATGCCAATCTGGTCGAGTAGGTAAACAGAATCTTTGAAGTTACTGAAGATGAATCGGGCACAGTGACTAATGAAATGAACCCGCAGGTACAATAAAAGATTGGCATAATCGGGCAGCTTCGTGAAGAGGTAGGAACTGTAAAGACTGAGGCCAAAGAATGGAAAAAACACATGGATCGTTTGGCACAGAAAAGGAGACTGCACGGGCCCAGTCGGCCTCGGCTGAAATCCAGCTCCGAAATATAAAAGATAAAACCTTGGTGCAAGCCAAGAAAATCGAGGAGCTCCAGTCCTAGTTGGGTTCAACAATTTCCGATCGGGAGAAGTTGGTCACAGAGCTCGAAGCGGCCAAATCGGAGGTCGAAGCGACCAAGACCAATGCCAATGCAGTGGTGGGTATCTATCGGGCTGATGCTGAAGCTGCTCAAGTTCGAGCAAAGGAGGTTTTCGAGGCTACTCATATTCGAGCAGAGAGGAACACCAATCATGCCAAATATCAATCTCTACTGGAGACCCTTGAGTAAATCCATGCTCGGGGCTTTGACCTTTCAACTGAGATCGAGAACATTAAGAAGGATAAAGCTGAAGCTGGGAAATTAGCCTATCCCGATGATAATGATGAATCTGAAAGCTTGAGCAAATTCGAAAGTGCAAAAGACCCCAAGAGTGAAGATGCTACTCTCGGAGATGACCAGGTCACTTAGGCTTTTATATAGTTTTTGTATTTCTATCGAGGTCGTTTTGGCCTTTTGTAAAGAACTTCCATCGAGTCGTGTTGCCCTTGTAAAAAGGTTTTGATGAATATGTATAAAACTTTTTCCCTTCCATAGCTTATGAATCTGTTGTTAATTTATGTAAGGGTCAAAGCGCCTTAGAATAAAATTATAAAGTTGTATTCGAATGTCTAAGGTTTGAGATGGTAAGGACAGATAATATGTACTACCCTCGACCGTTTCTGATCAGTGGATCCCCAATGATCATTCAAATT